GCGCAACCCCCCCCTCCCGCCCCTCCCCCCCCTACCCAAGGTTCTTGGTAGCCGTACGCTTTGCGGTCGATGAAGGCGGTGAACGGTCGAGGACGCCAACAAAAGGCTGGTGCACAAATGGCAGTACTGCTGTAGTACTCCTATATTTCTAGAGGTAGTGCAAGAACGACAATGTGCGCGTACGATGCGTACCCTCGAGCACCAGAGTCTGGTCCATGGGTCCTGCAACAGCACGAACTTCGACTTCGCGGCGAAAATTTCTAGAATGTTCAAATGTTCAAAAATGTGGAGAAAACAGGCGTGTGCGTGCGTTTCCTACCAAGACTGAATGAACTATTAATAGTCTATTGTTCTAGATTTTGCACTGGCCAACTGCTGTGCGGCGCTGCTCCCAGCACCTGCAAGCATTTGGCACGATCCCGATAAGGCTGAACACTGGCCACGTCCAAACGACGCCCCCTGTTAGACCGAAGCAGTTCCTTTTCAGCGGCCACCGCCTGCTGTGGAGATCACCGCCTGCTGTGGAGATGCCGCTATCCTACGCTGTGTGTCCGTTAGTCAAGATGTATGTACTGCTATCGCATTCGACCTCGTGCTACAACAGTTGAGCTTGTTCGTCACACATGCTCACTGACGCAGGCGTGCAGAAAATAGTCCGGACCTTAGATTCACACACTCGTCTCTCGTTTCGCGCGCTCAAAACAACCCCCAACGCTGCGCACACTCTCGCCACGGGCTGCGCACACTCTCGCCACGGCATGGTTGTCACGCTGATGGTCCTATTGCTGTAGGCTTGTGTCCTTGTGTAGCAGCCTGCTGCTGCTGTGGCATGCTGAGATACAAATATTGCACCTTCCTGGGCGCGTGTGTCGGCGTTCCATTGACATGGCAGTGCTATCCTGATCGACAAAAGGATCCCTCTGTGGCGTTGCTGGCTGCTGTGCTCACCTGCTGAAGTTGGGCAACATGGCGAAGACGGCGACTCTGCTGTACCACAAGCTTGTTTTCGGCCTTGCTTGCTTGTCTACGGATTTTCTCTTTCTCTTTCCGCTCAAGTTCTCCGTTGCTGCTGGTATGTCCACTACTGACTTTCACGAAGCTGGCCCTCTTTCCTGCACGAGTGGGAGTCCAGCTCTCTTCACACCCCTATGTACTGCAGGTCCTGTGTCGCTCGGGAGCGCTTGCACTGGCCCGCAGGGGGAACGCAGGCTTGAATTCGAATCATAGGGTACTTCCTCTATGTACATGGAAACGTGGACAAGCGGAGCGGCGCAAAAGCACGGCTGCAGCAGGCGGAGCGGTGCCACCTCTACTCTGTCTCTCCACCCACAGCAGCCACTGCTGAAGCTACATAGCTCTAGGTTATACACGGGTAGTGGAGAATCTTGCATCATTTGTCGCCAGGTGAGTCGGTTTACTCAACGTTGTTGACGGTTCAAATTGTGCTTCAACACACGTCCACCGTGCAACGACCGGTTACATGGCCGCCCACACATAACACCTACGCCTGACAGGCAACATGTAGGGCGTTGGAACAGTAGTGAGGGAGAAGCGCTTCGACAGTGCTATGTGGTATACGTGAATAAACCAGACTAAATTGCACGTAGGCTGCTCTCCTCTCCGCAACTGCCTCGTCGGCCAGCAGGAATTGATGAGACAAAAACATGCAGTTTGAACTGTGTGGGTCATGACGCTTGACATGTGCAGGACGGAAGGTTTGACGCAACGTCTTAGCTGTGCTGTGCACCCTCAGCTGCCGTGTGCACGCAGTAGGACTCACCCAGGCTGTCCTTCGTGGGGCATGCCTCTGAGGATGACGTTAAAGTCGTGCCTCTCGCAGTAAGGAAGACGGCATAAACCACTTTGGCGTTCTCCATGCTCGATACAACGGTTGGCTGCCTGGAGTGCCGATAAGGTTTTCCTACATAGCAGCCCTTCAAAGAGCATGCTATTTTCTCTTGAGACTCGCGGCGGCACCCGGTGTAGCTGCTCTCACTTCAAAAATTGCATCATTTTCTGAGTTTCGGGGTTGTATGTATGTAGTATCCGGGAATTTGTTGCCACGTTGACACTTCACTCTTCCTATGCCTACAGTGTACACTTGTGATACATTCTGCGGTATTGCGGAGCCGTTCCGAGTGTACCCCTCAGTCAAGCGGGAAGCCAGAGCTGCTGCGCGAGCGGCGACAGCGGCAGCTGCACGCAACGTGCAGTACAAGGTCTAGGCCCAAGCATGGCTGTTGACATCATGTGTAGACTTTGAGTGATTTGGCACACCATCGCGCCGTGAAGTTGAACTTCCGAGTATCTGTCTTCAGTCGGCGTTTTTATCACCGAACCCGAACCCCCCCCCCCCCCCCCCCCCCCCCCCCCCCCCCCCCCCCCCCCCCCCCCCCCCCC